AACAGTACAAACATGAGTATTTGCAACTGAATTTTAAGTGTGGGAGGGTCTCAGTAATGGTTTGGTCAAGTTATGTGGATATGATTAAAGGACCTATAGTTTTTTTTAATGATTACAAAGGCCCCAAGGAAAAAATTACTAAAATAATTTATACCAAGGTTTTAGACAACCACCTCATACCATTTATAGCTAAATTCAAGAAACTGGCATAACCGAAAACTCATTTGGGAAGCCTTGAGTAAAGAGGTAGTTGAAACCTTCAACAGTGCTACAGAAAAGACCGAATTTGGAAGTTAAAATTAAAACCAAAAAACCGAGCAACACAAGATCTTTAAGTGGAAGAATCTATCAACCAAACTGCCAATTTGGGGAACTCGGAATTTGTGATGGGTATACTAGCTACACCAACCAGGTCACTAACCTTGGAAAAGTCAGTAGCGGGGCCCTACTCTAAGAATAAAAGTTCCAGGCCTAGTGGCACCAATGAAAAATGGCTGGGTACTCTGGAGAACTGGGTGTTGTGAGTTGGAGGAAAAGGACACATGCTATAGAAGTGTATACCAAGGTGAAACAGGCTAAAAACACCTAGAGCTGGGCTTAAGTCAAATCTTCTGGGTTGTCGATTAGAAGTAAGAGACAGATTAGTTAGGAAATGATGGAAAAAGAAAAGTCAAAATATGGGTATCAAGGTAGAAATTGAACTTTATAAGGGGCATAGCAATCACTAAGCTATATTGCAAGTAAAATCTTTGAAGACTGTGATGACTAGGCTGTCTAAAATAAAGTACAGAAAGCTCTAGTAGATTTACCTTGAGGATAGCTATGGTATCTGCTTAATGGAGGAATACAAACTAGTAATTAGTCAGTGCAAACTCAGGATAAATCTATGAAAGTCCTAAGGCAGGATACAAAATCTACTGAGAACAAGCTGCAATTGTGGTAGTCCTGTAGTTAGAATGAAATGGTATATATAGTGAAGATCAGAAGGTTTAAATAGGTAGTTTTAAGGTGGGATGCGAAATCTACTAAGGACAAGCTGCAATTGTGATAGTCTTGTGGTTAGAATAAAATGGTATATATGATGAAGATCAGAAGATTTAAATGGATAGTTCTAGTTTGGGCTACAGTTACAGGTATCTAGTGTATATGGTGCCAAAAGTGTAGTAGCTAGTTGTATCTTTGTTGTAACCAGTATTATTAATTTCTAATAAAAAGTTTTCCTAGACCAAAGAGGTCATCTTAATACTGAAAAAAAAAAACAACTTTACTTATTATATAAAATTTAAATAGCTTAGTAAATTTTGGCTTTAATAAGTAACAACTATTTGTAATTATAAATAAATAAGATTATAAAAAGTGATTTTATTATTAAAATTATTTAACAAATTCTAAAAAAATATAATAATAGCTATAAACCTTTTGTGATTACATTAATAATAAAATAATTATTATTTAAAAGAGTTTTATTTTTTATTACACCTGCAATATATTGCACCCCTACTATATCTAAAAATTTACTATGGTAACCTCTATTGTATAACTAACAAAAAATGATCCTCTTACAATTTTACCTAATCCTAATTCTAACCCGAACACTAACACTAACCCTAACTCTAACTTTAAACCTAATATTAATTATTGTAGAGGTGCACCCTAACTCTAATTATTATAGAGGTGCAATGTATTGCACTATGCAATAAATTATAAAATTCTATTTAAAATTGTGTAATTATATAGAGCTTGTGATTATATAGAAGATTACTATATAGAGTGATAGCTAAAATTAGAAAATTGGTTAATATTTAGATACTATTCAATAGAAAAGGAAGAAATCTACATTTAGATTTAATCAAAAATTATAAGAAAATTACATTTTTGTAGATTAAAACAAATACCCAGTAACAAATAACATAGATCTATTTTTTAGAATATTATTTATATATGCTATATAATGTAATTTTTAAATTTTCACTATATAAAAAATTATGTCACACTATACTGTATATATTACTAGATAGTAAAGGTCATGAGTAAAACTTAAAAAATTATTAAACTATAATTTAACTTTGATTAAAATTATATAATTGATTATGCTTTATTTAATAAGCCAATAAAATTTTTTAGCTAAAAAGCAAATTTCTTCTCTTTTTACTAAACAGTATCTATTTTTTGTTTGAAAGTAATATAAGAAGTAATTTAGTAGAAAATATTATTAATAATTATCATGAGAATTCTTAACTATGAGGCTTTAGATTGGTTTTCTCTAAGATTAAGCACTCACTTTGCATTGGTCAATCTACCAGGCACATGCATCTCTACAAGTTATATTTACTAAGAGAGTTTATGTCAAGTAATAGAAAAGCTTCCTTCACTTATGAAACTCTTTATTCAATTTATATTGAATTTTTATTTGACTACAAAAAGGTATTATCAAACCATAATTGATGACTATATTTCTAATACTAGATTATGCATAACTATAATTAACTATGCTTTTATAACATACAGATTACAAATAAATTTCATGTATTAAATCACTGATTAATATCTATTACTCTGATTATTATAGGCACCACATGCATACATGATATTATAAACTAAATTCACAATCAGATTTCCAGTTTTCAAACCTCAAAATTTCTTGAACATAATATACAGGGATTTGGTTATCATTGTGACAATAATTTTTATTTTTAAAGAGGATGTATAGATCAAAAAAATTAAAAAGAAAATAAAAAGCTTCAGAGCAAGTTTTATAGAAAGAGATAAATAGAAGGTAAAATATGGGGTATCTATAGAAACTAGACAAATTGTTTCTTGTAAATTCCTTTTAAACTTTAAATTAAAATATCTCAACAACTATCAAACCAAACTTGATAAAAAAATTTTTATTTTAATGCTATTTAGTTATAGAATTAAAATAAAAAAAATTTATTAAATTTGGTTTAATAATTATTGAGATATTTTAATTTAAAGTTTAAAAAAACTTACTAAAAACAATTTGCCTAGTTTCTACTAACACCTATAGAAAGAGTTATTAAGAGTTAGTAGTCAAGTTGAAGAAAAAAGTTTAATAAAAGAGTGAGATTTTAAGTATTGTCAAGAAGTCATTAAAAAGTGAAAGATAAGAGTTCTTGTTATAAAAGAAAATTAATTTTAAGTATTAGCAAAAAAAAAGAGAAGTTGTTATGATTAAAGAAAGAGAAAAAAATTGAAAAAACCAAAATGCATTTGAAAGAAATTAAGATATTGTGTAAAAAAGAGTTAAATACCCACGTGCATATTTCTAACCCTATCCAATAACTATAAATTATTGTAGTAAAGTTGATCTTATAATTTTTAAAGTAAATTTGCAAAAATTAATAAAGTATTTGGTTCTGGAAATAGTGTTTATTTTAGTAAATAGTTAATAAAATTAAATGATTTATTAAGTCCAAAAAACACAAACTTTATTTCTGATTAGTAAGTTTTTATTTATATAATTTTTTTTTTAAAGAATATAATAATATCAAAAACAAAAAAATTTATAAAAAATTTAATTTTTTTTACTTAAAATATTTTTTCTAATAATAATATAGCTATTGAATGCAAGGCAGTTAATAATTTTCTTTATTAATTTTTAAGTTTAATCTCTAGCTTATGAGTCTTTTAAAAATATACACAAATCGAAAAAAAAAACAAAATGGTTTATGGTAACTTACAATAAAGATCATGATAGTTTGAATGCAAACTAACTTTAACTACATACTATATGTTATTGGAATAGTAAGTTTTTAATTCATAATTTAATGCAATCAACTTAATTTTAACTTCACAGTGTAGTCACTAAATAGCAAGTAAATTCCATAACAGAATTTTTTATAGTAACTCATGATAAAAATCACAATATACATGTTACCGGAATAGCAGGTTTTATAACAAAATTTTTTACAGTAACCCGTGATAGAAATCATGATAATTCAAATACAAACTAACCACATAATGCGGTCGCTAGTGATAGAAATCACAATAATTCCGATACACTAATTCAAATTAACTTAAGCGAGTAAGTTCTATAACAGAAGCTTTTTACAGTAACTCACGATTATTCTAATGCAAACTAACTCAACCTTAACCACATATTGTGGTTACCAGAATAGTGAGTAAGTTGAGTAAGTTCTATGACAGAATTAACTTATGGCAAAAATCACGATAATCTCAACCTTAACAACTGTGTATACTGCATTAACGAGTAAGTTCCGTAACATTATTCTCTACAGTAAAACATAATAGAAATCACAATAATTCTAATGCAAACTAATTCAACCACATACTGTGTAACTTATAAGTTTTGTGATAGTATTTACAGTAACACACTAATATGATTAAAAAAAATACTAAATAAGATGGGTGACGCATAACACCACCCGTCGCACTAGTATATAATTAATGACGAGAAGTTTCAAGCTACCTTGCATGAACTTTCTATATAAAGATGAGATCATTGATTTTGTGCAATGTTGGGTTCAGCATGTTTAGAAATTCAAGTCATTGCACAGTTTAGGTCCTGGATTTTCGCATCTGATCGGGAAAGGTATACCATCATTTTACGATGGAAGCACTTTTTTTATTAGCTGGAATTATTAAAGCTTAAAATTAGGTCCTCGAATTAAAAAAAACCCTGCTAAACCTATTTATACTCTTATTATAAAAACTAACTCTAAAACTCAAAAAACAATAACGCACCCTAAAAATTTTGAGAATTCAGTTTTGCGTTTCCAATCAATATTATTGAGGTTTGCTTTATTACACTTACTCTGATAATTGGTACAGCTGAAGCTGGGCGTTTTTTATTGATTCTTATCAATTTAGAATCGACATGAGTCATTTATGAATCAATAACTTTATTTCATATTATATTTGTAAATATGGTTATAAATAGAACATTCATTTAAAATATAAATTCAAACATAACATAATACTCTAATTATAAAACAATATACTTTCAAATAATTATCGTACTATACATTGTCTACATCATTATTAAAGCTATGTTTAGTACGTGAATTTGTACCAGAGTTGGTAGTATTTGAAGTTTTGTTTCGTTGCTTTTTATTTTGACGACTATTATTTTGAAGTCTATTATTAGTTTTATGCAAATTTGATTTCGTTACGCTCTAAGAAAATTTACAAAAAAAAAAATTTTTAAAATAATTAAATACGGTATATCATATTGCGAATAATGATAAAGAATTCTCTCTTTCGTTTGCTCACCTGAATGTATTTATATGCATTATAAATATTTGCAACTAATAATGATTTTGGAAATTTGTCGATAATAATACCATTAGAAACCCACAATGGCCAACAATCACTACTATTTTTTTCATCATTATTTTCTGCCAAATATTTTGTAAGTTTTTCATCGGGATCATACAATTCTGACGACAAGTAACGAAACATGAATCTTTTCAGTGCTAGCTCAAAATTTCTATGTGTAATTTTAGATAATTTTATACCACTACGACCAACTACGTGTGATTGTTCAAAATCAACAAATGCATTTATTTCATCTTTCATTTGTTGAGACAGATCGGCTTTATATTTGTCCGAAAGATGATTAATTTCTACATCTGCAATTTTTTCTTCTACGAGTTCATATAATGCTACTACATGCTTCAATTTTAATCCACTAACTACTTGGTGAAATTGGAGATTTTCGGTTATTTCTGATAGTTTCATCCATTTATCATAATATTTTGTAATTTCCATTTCAGGATCTCCGCCTGAGGTTCGCTTCAAAAAACAAAGTAGAATTTCAAGTTCAGATAAAAGTTTGGCGGGATTATCAAAAATAAGAGACATATCTGCAATATTTAGATTATTTCTATTTATTGTTGAAGTGAATGTGGTTGCGGTGAAAAATCCAAGTTTTTCAGTTGAAATTTGTTCTTGTGGAATCAATGCTCTGATTTCTCTTAAGTTTGTTTTAGAACTTGAAAGTAATTCCATATGATATTGGAAAACGTCCAACCACAGCGAATCATTATTTTTTTTAAGATAAACTTTATTATAAAGAATTTTGTATGCTAATTCTGCCTCTATTTTATGTAATTCATATTGGATCTCTTGCCCGTGACCAAATTCAAGACCACATTGATTATAGGAGAGTAGTTTAGGATTCCAAGTATAATTAATAATATTTTTGGCATGTGCTTCTGAAAGAAATAGCGACTCAACGTAATTTTGATATTGAGGCATGTTTTCTGAATCACTTATTAATTGCCCTCCTAAAAATTTTAGTGAAGAAAAATCATGTCCAACCGCTAAAACCTGTTGTAAAAATTCATTTTGCAGATTTGCTAAAAATTCAATCACTTTGCACAGATGTAATGATTCATTCCTTTCTTCAAATAATGCAAAAACTACAGAAAGATTTTTTGTCATCTCAGGCATCGAATTTATAAACTCATAACGCTCATTTTGAACATTTGCTCTAATAAAATTCCATGCATTAGCAAAGTTTTCAAATGCCTTCTCAAGACTTTTTCGAGATTGTAACTCGTTGCTCCTAAAAAATCCGTCAAATGTACGATTGAGTGCGTCATCTCTTTTCAATCGGTAGCATAGCTTTGAAGAGAGCATCCGTGTAAATTTCACAATCGGTATGAGATTTTTCACCAATATCAATTGTTCTTGATATTCAAAGAAAAGTGACAAAAATGGAAATTTTGTACTAAAATTTGGATATCCCATACAATATGTTTGTAAATTTTCAAGGCTTGGTTTACCAATTCGTCTCCAAATTCGTGGATAAAAATTTTTCTGATAATTTTCATCAAAATCCAAAGTTTCATTAACTTCATTTTCAAGTGTATGTTGTGCATCTTTTACCAATTTTTTTAAATCATTTGCAGTGCGAAGAGCATTAGTAACTTTGGGTTTTATGTAAAGTTGAGTGAATTCATTTTCCCATGCTTGTCGTTTCTCTACTGTATTTAATATTGCTGTTGTTTCAATTTGACTCTCGGACATAGAACGGAGGATTGAATGTAATATAAGTGCCAAGGCCTCATCATCGCAATCAAATAAAAGCGTCAATTTTAGCCAATCATTTTCAATATGCTGTTGACAATAATCCAAAGGATCGTCAATCATTTCATGATTTTGATTTTCGTTATTTTGTTGAGGATTGTTGAAAAAATCCCATTGATCTGTATTCGAAGCGGCAGCAATAAGGACGTGTACAAAAAGATGTAAGATGCAATAAGAGACTGGTGTCAAATTACGAAGACGAAAGTTGATATTTTTTCTGCTTTCAATTGATTCATAAACATAGCCTAATTGTGTTATTTCCTCATTGCTTCCATTAAGACCTTGAGTAGCGTTACGCCTTTTACCCAGATTTACAATACATTTTACCCCTTTGGTAGAACTCCCACACTGTGGACAAATGCTTTTTTGAACCGTACCATTGATAATATATTTATAGCCGCACTGACATTCATAACTATTTAAAAAAAAACAAAAAGATTAATTTAGCACAATATAAAATTCCCAAATTTGTTTACAAATACATACTTTATAAAAGGTACAAGAACATCTGCGATCTCAGTATCAACACAAGATGCCAATATGTAAGTATTTTTACAATTCCTTAGAGTTCGTAGATACGCAGCCAACGGAGAATTCGATGCAGGAATACAAGAATGAAGTGCAATTATATGAATAATGACTGATCGAATCAATAGATCAGTCTGAATTGTTTCCGGAGTGATGTTATAAAGGGGATTAGTATTCTCAAGAAAAGATAATAATTTAGCTCGATAAAACTCATCAAGTTGCATATTTGGCAATTGATTCTGCAGCCATTGGATTGCAGTTTCTTCGTTAGTGCTTAATCCTCGTATGGCACGTATATCATAGAGATGTGTGATAAGAGTTCCCATGATTGCCATTTTAATACTTGTTGAAAAGTTATTTAAAGCTTGATTTAAAAAATTTTCAAATTGCATTGGTTGACCGCGCAAATATAGTGGATTAAACGCTTCTTCTGCTTCTATGTATTGATCATAACAATGATAAGCTATGAAACCAATCTTGTTGTTGCTTTCATCCCAGTTAAAGTCGGTTAGCCATTGAAATATTCCGGATTGTATATTGCAAAAGCATTTAATTCCGTGTAATGAAAGTCCGTTGTCATATAAACTACGAAGAAAATATAACTTGAATGAATAAATCAAAGATGATTGACGCCTCACAGCGTGGTCGATTTTATCAATCACTTCTTCAATATCAGCATCACACTTAATTGGTTCTGTTTCTATGGTTTGTAGTGTTTCTAGTGAGTTCCAAAAAACATTTACAAATTCCTTGAGTAAAGCTACTGCTAATACCAATTGCAAAGGTTCGAAATTGTTACTACATAAAACATCAAATGCCTCTTTAAAGTTATCTTTCAGATCCTTAAAAGTCCATTCTGTAAAAAAGTCATTTTGCATTACGTCACAGCACAGAGCCATAACTGGTGAATCGATTCCGCTGTTTTTAAGAGCATTGTTTATAGCTTTCAGGCGTGGCGAACGACCCAATACTGCTTTTGCATTTTGAATTAGATGAACAAAAATTCCTTTTTGCAAGTCTTCCTCTAAAAGCAAGACACGCGATAAAATAGATCCAATAAAAGTATGCGGTTCTTGTCCAAAAAGTGTTTCGTAAAGGCGAATACGCACTGGTGAGTCTATCGGAATTATATCAAAACATCGACGAAAGAAAGAACATTGTGATGTATTGTTTCGTTCTGTAGCTGGCATATCAAAAAGTTTTAGCACACTGTCAACAAATTCTTGAGAAAGAATATTTATTGGATCAGGTTCCTGTTGAATACTAATGGTATCGATTATATCCGAAATATTGATTGATTGATTTGAGACCAGATCATTACATATACGTAAAAATTGAAGAATTTTGGATTCTAAAGAGTTCTCAATATTCGCACATAATGACAAAACATTAATGACTTGTCGTTGCCATTCACCTAAATAATTTGCAATAATTAATTCGTCTATAGTTTCATATTTCAATGACGTAATCTTTCCGAGCATCAAATTAACTATCTCATTTATTACATAATCTCCAAAGTGATCACCTTCAGGTAAATTAGATTCAGGCTCTGAGATCGAAGGACACATACGAGCCAATCCTAGTTCGGCGATAATAGAATCAGAGTTATCCCACCAAAATATGTGCAATCTAACGGGATCATTTATTATTTCATTATTGCATAAACTACGGAAAATAAATTCTAGTAGTTTCACATCAGATTCATTCAGATATCCCGTATTAGCAGAGCAAGTTTTTATAAAATCTTTAAAGTATAAACGTCTAGCGAGCTGCAAAATTTCTGGTGTCAACGTTGTTATCGTATTCTGAATATTTGTTGAAAATTTTTCAACAAATTGTTTAATTGCTTCTGGATACAAATTATCATCGTTATCCAAATTTTCAGGTTGTTCATACAAACTTTCTATTCCTTCTTGATAAAGTCTTTTATATTGATCAATTTGTTCCATGAAATAATATGAAAAAGGGAATTGAAGATCCAAATAATATCCCGGAATGTTATAAAGGTTTGGTTCAGGATCTGTAAGTGCTTCATCAATGTTTACTATCTTTTTGTTTTCAAAAATTTGCATCCAAAACTTAAATAAATCATCCTCATCATCCTCATCATCCTCAAAATCCTCATAATCCTCATAATCCTCATCATCCTCATCATCCTCATCATTCCATGAAAAAAGTTGCGTTATTGCATAATATTTGTCTAGAATATAAAGTAGTTTAGCAATAGGCTTTCGAACCAGTAATCGTATATATGTCTCAAGGGCCACGTAAAATGAAGGATATAATGACAAAAATTTTTTATCTAGTGCGATACTTAATTGCCATTTATCTGATGAATTGACCTGCAACCATTCTTCTGTTCGTACTTTTAAACAGTTAACGAGTTTCTTGCATTTTGGAATCTCGTATAGTAATTTTCTAGAATAATAATCATTGCGGTGAGTCTATTGGAGATTAACCAAGATAAATTATATATATATATATATATATATAGCTAAACTAACCTTATATGCTCTAAAGATTTTATTGATGAAGGATGTTTCATACAAAGTAAACACCAAAGTAACTCTTGATTTAAGATTTGTTCAAATGAAAACTTTCCATTAATTATTTCACCAATTGTTGAGTCAAGAATGAATGAAAGTGATTTTTCTGGTGCAGTTAAGCTTTCGATGGTAATCTGAGTCCAACCACACATAAAATTAAATATATTTGTATTTTCCTCACTAGATTGTCGATTAAAATGAATAATAATGCATGCGCGTTTGACTAATTCGTTGCTATCCTGCTGACTTGCTTTGTCTAAATATTTATTTCGATGCTGTTCGATTATAAACTTTGCCAATCTAATGCATCCTGTATTTGTAGTCAAAGAGTCACATTGCATGATATACATATCTTGATCGGACTCATAAAAACGCTTAGCTCGATTTTGGAGTTCGGCTTCGGACTTAAAAGTTGAAAGTTTATCAATTTGGCAATTCCCATTAATTTCTCTCAAACATAATTTTACATCAATATTGATGTTAGAAAAAGTATTTATGATTACTAGATCATTCTCTAAACAATCATTTTGTGATCGGTAAAAATCCTGAATACTGTCATGTTGTCGATTTTGGAAATAGAAATTTTGCCATTTTTTCACTTCCTGAGCATCACTTAATTTTAGAAATGATGTGCCAGCTCTTATGATTCCATCCAAAGTGGCAATCGAAATCATGGCTTCCTTGCAAGAACAAATGATCATATCGTCATCATAATCTTTATTTCTTTCGCATTGATCCACAACTAAACTTTGAAGTGTTTCCTCTGATGAAAATCCAATAAACATATCCTTTTCACTGAAATGATACTTTGTATCATTATCATCTGTTTTAAAAATGGTAGAAATTTGATTTGCCCAAGATTTTAGACTCATATAAAGCTTTTTTTCACGTTTTGATAGAGTTTCTTCAAGTGTAAGCTTTTGTTTTTCGAAACGGTTTAGAAGAGGTGGATCAGCGTATGGTAATTTTGCTTCATCAAGCACCAAAATACATCTAAAAATACACTCTAAATTAATAAAGTCGTTTGCATTTAATTAAACAAGAACAAACTTCAGCATACCTAAAGTTAGGATGGACTGAACGAGATGAAAAAGAAGTTTTTGAATGAATGATATATTCTTATATACTACTTAGTTTTCAAATTTTGTATTACCATATAACATCGGATTAGAGTATGGTCCAAGACTAATTCTGGTAAAATTCTTTTTATCTTCGTTTGAATTTCCTTCTGACAAAAAATTTTGATTGAATAAATCATAGAGAGAACCTAAAAAAATTATTCTAGTTAGAATTTCTAGAAAAAATAAATTACGTTAATGCACATGAAAAGATTTTTACCATAAATAATATCGAGGTCTGTCAATATTAAAGGACTTCCTGTTTCTACACATATCTAAGTAAAATCACAATTAGTATTCTAAAAAATAAGAATTAAATCAACAAATTTTAAGTTATACCATTATGCGATTGAGAATAGCATATGAATAATCTCCGCCATCTTTATCGTCCGGAAATTGAGATCCAATAATTACAACTGGTTCAAAACCTCGTTGACGAAGCCTATACGCCTGAAGAGCAACGATGGAATTACTATTCCCAATTAACATAAGATTTCTTGCTCCTTTTTCTTCAAAATTGATATCAATAAGTTCTTGTACGGGAATTGGAACATATTCATATTTGTGCATATATTGTAGCTTCAAGACGTTTTTAAAATAAAAGGTACATAATTCCTCCATATTATCGGCACCTCCAAAATTTCGAGCTAATGCTAGGTGAATACTTCGATGGAAATTTTCCTAAAAAATACACGCGTGAAATCATTAGTTTCAGTTCAATAATTCATAAATGATAAAATAAAAGTAGTACCTTCAATTTTTCCTTGTCCATGCTTTTTATGCTTTTAATTAGGGAATAATAATCTCGAAGGCCTAAAAAATGTCGTATAAAAAATCAGCTCATTGCGATTTAAAATTACTTTTTCTATTAATATTTAATACTTTACCATGAAAATTTTGGTATTTTTGATGCTCTATGTAATGAAGGTAAGCTTTCGCAAGCTTTTTCAAGAATTCGTTAAAATTCGAAATAACATTACTAAAAACTTTACTATCTCCAAGCAAACATTTCGCTGTATCAACCAAATCATTTTCAGAAAAAAGAGGACGTTGAATTAATAATGCTCGACTTGATTTACTATTATCTAATCTCCAATTACTGATTCCAATAACAGGAACTACAGGTTGGCTACTTTTGGAAATAGTAATAGCAGGAGCTACTGGTTGACTTTTTTTGGAACCAAACGGCGGCTCTAATAAAGAATGAAGCACCTTCAATGGATTATGTGGGCTAGTTTCTGCTAATCCAACTGTAAAGGATTTTATTATTTTATCGATTTAGAATGAAAATAGCTATTAAAGTATTGTTGCTTTATTTACCTTCATCTAACAGAACGACGGCTCTCACAGGGTTCTCATTGGTACTAACTTCTTGATATTTTTTAGCAGTTTCAAAAACCTTTATGATTCCTTCAGAAGTTGAAGAAGTTGAACCTTGATATGGTATTATATAAACTTGTGGAAGAGTTTGAAAGTAAGGTTTATTCGAATCTGCACCTCGAAGATTCATACTGATAATGCGCACAGCCAAAGATTTTGAACTAAAGAAAAAAATTTACATGTATTATAATCTTTATGAGGTTTTTGGATTTAACAGTAAAATTTAATTATTTACCTTCCTGGTGCACCAATTATGAAAACTGGTATTCGTGTTAGTATACAAACAATCATCACGAGGATATTCTCTAGAAGTGCCTCATTCAATGCAGTCCCTTCAGGTAATTGCATACCTTTAGTATACATATCTTGCTCTTTTGAAATTGTTTTTTCAAATAAATCTATTCCATGATTGCTTTGATATTTCTCGATTATAGCAATAATTTCTTCTCGATATTTTTTACGTTGAGATGGATTATGAAGCCTAAAAAGGTAACATAGGCTAAGTGCCAATACCATTGGACGAATTTCGAGTGGGTCTATAATGTGTTCTGTTGAAGGATCATGTTTTTTGAAAAATTTGAAAAGCTTAATAGCACGATTCACATCCCGTAAGCTAACGCTAAATGGCTCTTCGACATTACGAATAAATGCTTGTGATGAATATAATAACTCTGCAAAAAATGAATGCCCTAATTTAGTTTTAACCATGATATCGATATAATTTTTTTCATCTTCTGCTTTAAGATAACCATAATCCCAAACATAATCTAATATTTGATCTGGCAATGGATGTACTTGGTAAACTAATTGGTTTTTTTCCTCATACAGTTTTGCAGAAAGACCCACATCACTTTGAGATTTAGTTCTTAGTCGATAAGGATTACAAGCAGCAAATATTCGAATGTTCGGATGTATTGGTTTTCCATTAAAAATTCGATGTGAAATTAAACTTCCAAGTATTCCAATATGATTACAAGTGTTTATTTCATCCAGAAATAACCAGGTTTCGCCTTCATTTGCAAGCTTCTCTGCTACATTTATAGAATTTGAAATATCACATTCTTGAATTCCTGCATGGAAATCTAGTGTTTCGAAATTAACCTCCATTATCTTTGCCAAATAACTAATCAGACTTGTCTAAAATTCAGTATGTAAATCAATATCTCGTGTTATTTTAAAAACAATTCTAAGATAATAATACTGTAATAGCTCAAACCTTGCCGCAACCAGCTTCACCGCAGCAGACCACTGGTATATTAGCACGTGTTCTCAATAAAATCATTGCCATCTTGAGAAGATTTTCTATGGATAAGGCGTATTCAGGCAAACCTTCTAGTTTTTGCATTTTTCTTCTTGCAAGTCGCTCCAATACTTCTAATAACTTAGCTGATTCCATTTTATGATAATCTTGTAATACTGCTTTTTGACTCTTTAATAAATTTTCAACATTTTTTGGTACTTTTGTTTTATCTCTATAAAGTGCGCATATTGAATTTGGCATCTGAGATAAAAATGCAACAATAAGATGATTCGAGTCATTCCATTGTACAATATTTCCAAGTCGAGCTCTATCGATATCTTGATTATTTTCTTTCTGAGCATTTTCTTTTTGTACTTTTTGCATATCTTTAGTATTAATTGCTCGTGTTGCAAATTCTTTAGAACAAGAAATTAATATTTCAAAAAGTGATGAACGAATCTTTGTTTCTTTAGTCATCAGACGTAATTGTTCCACCTGAAAAAAGGAGCTTGCAGACAATCGAACCAATTGATCAGCTAATACATTAACAAAAATTTCTAAAAATCTATAAGAAAAAATGTTATCTAACTGATCTCTGAAAAAATATTGACGTAGTAATTCTTGACAACGTTCAGTCGGTAGCGGTTCTCTAATTGCCTCGGTTCCAGTAAGTCGAATATTTATGTCATCAAGAGCATTACGAGAATGTGCATCCATATAATAAGAAACTATTTGAATGGGACTGTTAATATGATGAGGCACTATAAGCTTTTTTAAATCCCATTCAATATGTTGGCGCCGTATATACTTGATTAAGGAAAGCGATTCAAATAAATATTGACCAACTGTTGATGCAATTTCTATGAAGAATAAAGTATCAGGCAAATTAACTATATCCATTTCATTAAAAACTATTCCGAATGTTAATAATTGAAACAAGAAGAAGTTGACATCATGAGAATGGGAGATTAAATTAATATCAATATGTAAACTTTCAAAAGTTTCCAATTTAAAATTAGCCAAATTTTTAACCAGCGCTTCAAAGCTAACTTTATCACTTATTAATAAGGTACGTAGAACCTTTTGTTTCTTAAAACTGGATTCTTTGATCCATTCAGTTTTTCCTTGACCAGACATATTTGATGTCACACACACGGAATTTTTGGAATCTTTGCAAATTTTAGAGTATAAAAGTTTCATAGATCCCTCGTCAAGACCATTAGTAGGATGAACATATTCTGTGAATTGTTCTAATATATGATGATTAATACTTTTTTCTCGAGTGCATATAAGAGCCAAGAGATAATCCTTTTCTTTATCTTGAAAGTTACGAATAGTTTGAACAAGATGATATTGTAATTCAAAATCCAAAAGTTCGACATTCGCAATACAAAATAAGTAGTTTTTGTATCCATTTTTTGCAGCAATAAAACAACGTTTAATAAAAAGTGAAATCTCTTTATCAGTTGTAGTACTTCGACAAATAAGAATCTGCCACGCTTTAGGAAAAGATCCATGATTAACAAAAAGTGATAATATCACATTTGGAACCAAAGAATAGGAATGGCAATCCGCAACGAATAATTTTCCATTAAAAACCATATCTGCTACGACCAGTTCAATATCTTTATGAATGGGATTGGGTTTTCGTTCTATGCCATTAAAAATATTATATAACGTAGCACCAATTTTACGAAGAACAGGTAAGAAATCATTTTCATTTTGAATTGTAGGCCATTCATCAGTTTGTCCAGGTAAATGAGCTGCATCATTAACGAAACGCACAAGATTCTGACAAATATCTCTATTGAATTCATTTGTTTCATTACTTTCATTATTTCGCACACTACTAATACTTTTAAAATAATCATAAAAGGTCAGAATGTGACGCGCAGAGAAGAACGTTAAATAATAGTGTTCATTTTGTGCACGGTCTACTACATCTTTCCATATTTCCAAATCATGAGATAATTTAGTTAATGTATGTTTTAACTCTGAACCGTGCTTTTCTATACAAATCTTTTGATAAAGAAAATGACCCGATTGAATTAATCTTGAAGCAATAGTGACAATATGTTGTGCTAAATCTATTTGAGTAACGAGCTGATGCACATGTGATCTTATATCTTTATTACTATCATCAAATAGTTGTTCAGTAGAAGTTCTGGATTTACCGATTAAGAGCGCACGACTGTAAAGATCATGCAAATCTGCCATATTGTATGATTTTTCAATACGGGATGAATTTTCATTTTGGCTTTGAGTCATTGCATATTTCAGAGTTAGCTCACAAGTATTCAAATTTTCATTATGTTTAAAAATATAGATGCCGATAGTTGCAGCATTTTTAATCCGTTCCTTGGTAACTTCGCCTTTGCTGGTTATATAAAGATGCATATTTTTTATAGCTAAATTATTTGAACCACATAATTTTATTTTTCCAGCGAGAGAAGGATTTTTTTGTGATACCTCATGCAAACGATTTAAAAATTCGATGGTTGATAATTTTGCAGCATTTTCATTTAAAGGTTTTAGTGCCTTATTGACTTCAATTAAAGCGGCGACAGTGGCTTCTTTAAGCGGTTTCGTATCTGATTGATCATCGACAGCTATAATAATCAATGAAAAAGTAAATATTAATAATGATATTAATTAATTCGTAATAACAGTGTACATATTGATATAGTATTATAACGGATAATGAAAATTTACCATTTATAAAATTCGTTAAATTATTTCCGATTAATTTTTCAAGTAAAAATTTAATAAAATCATTAGCAAGAGAGAGCTCCTTAATCACAGACCAACTACTTTCACTAAGTTCATTTAAATGATTATTTAACTTTCGAAAAATCCCGGACAATTCAGATAATTTCATATCATCCTTTTTCAAACTTTCCATCATTTTAACCACCCAACTTTTTTTTGCATTCTTTACTTCGAATTGGTCGTTAAGAACTTTTGAAAGATGATCAAGTTGCTTAGTTTTAGCTGGAATAAGAGCCAGAAATTCTATAGATTCAATTAAATCATTCTGCACTTTCCATGAAGTTTCACTAGCCATTATTTCAAGTTCACGCTTAACCTGTTCTTTGACAATACCTTTCCAAAGTTCTTGAGCATCAGAGTATTTAATATTCTTCCAATTCTTGTAACTCTGACAAGTATTCTTATATTGGTTAATTATCTTGTTTATGAAAGTATCAGCTACATGTGATACGCTCAATTGTATTTCATCATCTTTGGTATCGTTTTTTTCAACAATATTTGTAAAGATTTGGGATTCTGCATAGTGGAATACAGATTGACTAACTTCAATAATCATAATTTTATGCGGTGACCAATAATTTTGAGTTAGAATCTCAAAAAATGGTATAGAATTCAAAGCATCAACTTTCTTGTTAAGATCATCTAAATAAATTTTAGCATCATCAGTTTTATCGCACCACTTATTATAGAAGAAAAAGAGTTGTTTAATAATATCAGAATGTTCATTTGATTTGTCCTTGAGAAATCTTAGTGTATCGTCAGTAATTAAATTTTCTTCATTGTCATCATCGGCAATGAGACCTGCATTAAAATAACTTGTTAAATCGTAATTTTTCGATTCAAGTAACGTTTTAAGTAATCCAAATTGAATAGAATTATCCCTAATTGAATAAACAAGTTGACTAATTTGAGATCGAACGTATTTCACGTATTGATGAGAATGAAGTTTATTCACTTTTCCATTAGCATTTAATAAAAAGATCCAAAATTTAGAAGAACCGAACAATAACGATTGTTGTTCATCATTACTAATATTGAAGTCACCAGATATTTTGGCTTTATTGAGAATTATATCCAATATAAAGCAGATCGTATCTTCGCATAACCTACAGAAAACACATTAATTAAAATGAGAAAATTGTAATAAAAATAAAAAATTTAATAAAACTCACTGATTAGGTATATTCAACGGTGGGGCCGATGAATCGCATATCTGAGCGATAATTGTAATTAATTTATCGTCAGTGGCGCCAATAAGCGGATTCAACTTTTCATTAAAGACCTTGGTAAAATCTTTAATAATATAGGGCTCAAGATTGCCCACAAATGATGTTGATCGAAGGAACCAATCTATTGGAATATTGGAGATTCTCTTTTCAATAATGCTCAATAATCGTTTATAAATATCGAATCTTTTTTCGAGAATGAACGAAAGAGACGAAAGTTGTTTATATATGGCAATAACAATATTGTTTTGCCCTTCTTGAATCATAGCAGCAATTATAGATGAGTACCATGTATTACAGATTGATGAAATATTGTTTGATGAGATATTGTTGTTCGATAATCGTATGTTATCTTTTAATTCTAACACGGATTTTAACCATTTAGGAAACGATTGTAGTAAATATAAATTTGTCGATTTGGAAAGAAGATCTAATATTTCTACAATATCCGGTTCAGAGGTAAATAATTGAGAAAACAGCCGAAACATTGATTCTGAATCTTTAGCATTCCACGTTGATCCAATATTATACATGAATTTTTTAAAATCTTTTCGAAAAGCTGAGACACATTCAACTTGAAGATCTTCGGTAAGAGATTTAAAATGATGTTCTAACATACATGGATTATTGGAATTAAGGTTTTTACTAATATTTTCGCCTAAGAATTCTCTGATTTCTTGGTCCATATTTTCTTTTCCAATAATTTCGTTTACGAGAAAATCACATGATTCGATTTCAAAAAAAGAAATAGTGATGATAGCCTGTGAATAGTAAAAATAAATTAAAATTAACCATATTAATAACTTCAAAATAATTAATAAGGCTTATACAGTTTTAACGCACGTGCGTTGTAACACACAAACCCGATTAATCAATCAGATCGGATCATGATTAGGTGTAACGTGAACTGACATCTTAAGTTTTTGTTGAATTTCACGTTACAACAAATCTTATGAGGTGCGTTACAGCATTAAATGTGGTATAAAATTATTATTTTTACCTTTATGACCTTTTTATAAATAAATGGTCTATCAATTTTATTAATTTGATCAATATGCGGCTTCACATTTGTTTTTAGCAAGTTATAAAAAAGTTGTATCCCATCTTTATCCTTGTATTCATGCCTTTTGATATGAGATATAAACATGTAATCTTGATCAAAAATATGTGCAACGGCAAACATCTTCATCCAATCAAATAAACCACGGTTTGATGAATTATGCCGGACCAAGGCTGAAGTTACATTAGTAAATAATATTTTGGCATCAGAAGGTAGGAGGTCTTCAAATTGAACTTTATGTAATGCTCGTAATAAATCAGCCGAATGAAAATTTTTGGGTAAATTCATATAATTATGATTTTTTGCTTTTTGTTGAGCAGAATCGATATGACAAGCTAACATGACGCAGATTAAGATTTTTTGGCATTCATTTGGTGAATTTGAAAGATGAGCGTAAATTGAATCCATTTCTATCGCACGAATGGTCTGTTGATATTTTAAAATAGATTGAAATTCCATAACTTTATTTTTAAAATTTTCTAACGTCACCGATTCATAAATCACATTAAAAAATCTAAAATCATTATTAAGAGATGGGCTATAAAGATTTGCAGAATGGTTTGTTTTCCATATATCATATTGGTTATCTATGCTCGATAATACACGATCATCCATTTCTGAATCACCTTCCATTACAATTGTTTTGTCACCGAATATGAAATCAGTAAATGAAGAGATTATTTCTCGTTGTTGAGGTTCTTTTGGTCGATAAAATGCATATTTATATTTAACAGTACTATAATCTCTCTTATAGATTTTAATTGGATCAGAGGCCCAATATGTAGAATTGATATCAATTTGGTGTAATTTCGTCTTTGGTCTTTTCCAATATCCTAATTCTTCAACATTGCCTACTACCAAAGGTTGCATTGATTCACCAAAAGTTTGTGGCATATGAACATGAAAGGTAACTTCAATAATATTATCGATTTTTTCGTTGGTATCATGATAGGTAACTTTAATAATATTATCGATTTTATCGTTGGCATCATGAAAGGTATCATTTTCATCGTCACCATTATCTTCGCTATAGTCTTCACTATTATCTTCGCTATAGTCTTCACTATTATCTTCGCTATGGTCTTCATCATTATCTTCACTATTATCTTCACTACTATCTTCTTCATTTTGATTTAGCTTGGCGTGTTCTTCAGGTTCCTTGTCATATTTGTTTTTATTTTCAAGTGTAGTAGAAACATTTCCAATATTCGTAGTTAATTGTGCTTTTTTTTGTGTTGGATTTATTGCAATTATTGTATTTTTGGTCCAATTGAATGTTTTTTTAATAAAATTCATCTTTGAGTTTTAGCGACGGAAAACGAAAGATGCTGACATTTTTATTTCTTGCCTTAATATTTTAACCAAATTTAGACATAATTGAAATTTTTCACATGACACCTTTAAAGATAAAATCATTGTACTGTATTTAAATTTGGAAAATCATTATCGAAAAGGGTGTGAGAAAATATTAACGCTTACCGTTACATCGCATATATTATTTAAATCCGGAAAATATTTTACGTACGTACGTATAGGGTTAGTTGATGTGCAGTACTTCGATTTAAAAGCTTAATTCTAGATTTCGGAAATTTCACTTTTAGAAACAGACATATCGAAAATGAAATTTCGGAAAATAAATTATAACAGGTTTTAGCTTTGCGGCACTCAAAATCAAGGCTTTCAAGCTTTTTCTGCAGATTATAGATATTACTAAATTTGAAAGCAATATAGGCGCAGATATCGATTTATTGCATCATTCACTTACGTACGTACGTCTTACATGGTTAGATAAGTCCGAATCTATAGAATATAATAGTTCAGTAGTTGATACAATTCTTGATTACGCACTCTAACCTGACTTCCTTATCAATAAGTTGATATGCACAACAATCCTATTATTATTATTATTATTATTATTATTATTTAAAAGAAACCTTAAAATGTCTACTGCATATTTACTGGTTTTTCCTTAAGTTCTAGAGTGAAAAAATTCCCAAGCACAAGTTATTAAAGTGATTGACAAGATAACGATGAATGAAAAGAAAAAAAAAAGCAAAATAATCCGTAGAATTATCTGGATGAAATTGATAATATGCATATAACATTGCCATTGTGCCAAAATTTGAATTAGTCAATATTTACACACGCATAAAGTATTAACTGAAGATCGTTAAAAATTACGTAAGGTTTCTTAATAAAAAACATTTTGCAAGTTTTTAGTGTTATCTCTCGAAGAATTTGATAATGAAATGTGAAAAGTGCCAACTTTTTAAACTTACACGGGAATTTCCTGACGGTACAATTAGCTCAACATGCAAACATATCACATCTTGGTGTTTAGAGGTATAATATGCTCCAATGATTAATAATACGCAATAAATTAGTCATATTTTACAATTTTTTCGTTCAGTGCCTTGTAGGATACCTGAAAGAAGTGCAGCATCAATGTCCCACATGCAAAACTGAGTTGTCTGAACAAGAAGTTGTTAAATTTAACTTATTTTGGGAAAAGGCAAACTTCAAAATTGATCTTGAAAGTTTCTTGCAAACTCACGCCGAACATTCTGGTCCAACTGATGAAAATTTTAACAATCTTTATGTTGTTCTATTAAATGGTGAAATTATCACTTTAAGCATTTCTAATATCAAGACAATTAAAGTTAAAGATTTAAAAGGTGCTTTGAAAGATAAGATAAGAGTAGATATTACACAACAAATGCTGATTTATAACGGTATAGAGCTCAATGTAAATGATTTATTTCTCTTTTTTATTCATTTTTCGTTCAATATTTTTAATGTAAATATCATTCATGATCTTGATAATGAGTCATTGTTTTTCTATACAGAATTATCGAGATGATGGGACTGATAATACACTCGAAAATTACGGAATCAATCCAAATAGTTATATCCAGCTTGTTGTCGTGCTTTATTCTATCCCAAAGGATCAAGCTTTAACAAATTTAATATTCGATTTGCACTGGAAATTCCCTAGTTCTGGACATGATTTTCTCGACGGTACTTGTATGATATTTGAAGGTGATAAATTGTGGAAAACATATGACTATTTACATTCGAAATATCCTAGAATACGATATATTGAGCATTCTGGAGATCTTATGGACACTGATAATGGTTTGTTCTATGAGAACTATATTCTTTTTAACGTTTTGATATGCATTTTGAAATTTGACAAATTCATAGCTGGAGCTCACCATGAAATAAAAGCAAACCTCAATGAACTTCCTAAAAGCGTCGGTCAACTTTATTTTATACTAAGTTCATGGAGATCTCCGAACATTGGCCTTTTTAAGAAACCAGAGTTTAAATTATACGATCCAGCGAAACCGAACGTTAACCTATGTGATTACACTGTTCAGAGAGCTGCAGACTCACAAGCTGTTATATTGTGCCTTATTAATCGATCTCGTAATGGTAATTTTTTTATTTTAAATGATACAATTACAAATTAAAAAAATTTAACTATACATTTTTTTTGTTATAGATATGTGGAAAGTAATTCCTGTAGAAGAAACAACAAATGGAAATGCAAAAGATTATAGCCCAATCGAAGAAAAAATTAAGTCATTCGGCTTGTTCAATACGATTTTGTAATTTTCCGCATAGTTGACTCTATGCAACTTGAGTTGCATGCATACCAGAGATGGGCAAAATTATTATATTATTTTAAGATTGTTAAATAAATAGGGCTTGTGAAAAATCTTTTTTTTAGCAGCAATCTTAATAACACAAAAGCAATAAAGATTATTTCAAGTATAACCAATTCTTTGACTTTCATGATAATATATAACTTTAATATGTTCGGCAATGACTTAATTGTAACATATAACTTGTCATTATGACTTTAGAGTTTTGGTTGTTACAAGTATTGAGAAATATAGAATTTGATTTAACAAAAAATTATATCTGAATTGTCATTAATGTGATTGACTTATTAGAATTAGCTATAATAGCATCTTGTCGAATAGTTGTCTTAATAATATTCGTTATTAATCTCATTAATTATCTTTAAGAAAAAGGTTTTTTTTTGTGATATATATTATCAAATACAAGTTAATTCAATTATATGTTTATTTATTAATACGCTAAGCAATTAATTGACTTTAGACTTTTTATTGTTTTATTGTAATAAGATTTTAATAATGTGAGCTTAAACTAACATTTACATAAATACTGAAATAAAACCTAAAAGAATAAAATAATTTTAGTTAAACAACTTTTTGGACCATATGCAACAGCTCCTGCAGCAGACCCATAGTAGTAGCCCTATAGTAGCCCCCACCGCAGCCCCTACAGGTCCTCCAAAACTTCCCATAGCAGCTCCTGTAAGAGCTCCTGTAGCAAGACTTTCACCAATTCCACAGCCTCCTTTCTGTTCCTGTTGTCTTAGTTCTCTCTCTCGATTCAGCTCCTGTTGTCTTAATTCTCTCTCTCATTCTAGCTCCTGTTGTCTTAGTCCTCTCTCTCGTTCCATTTTCTGTAGCATTCGTTGCTCACATCTATCTTGTTCTTGTTCTCGTGAACTCTCTTCCTGTTTCATTCATTCCCTCCTTGAATGTTTCTCTCGTTCCTCTCTTTCTCACTCCCGTCGTTCAAACAATGCTATCATGGTTCTGCCACAAAATCCTGAAAACCATTTTCCCGAAGAAACATAATACCGATTAAATTGGCCAACATTGTAACTAATGCTGGCTAACTTTGTCAGTATTAGGTCTTTTCGGAATTTGTCCTTCGGGATTTTGTGGTAAACCCGCCATAATTCATCTATTCTCTTCTTTGGCCACTTGTTTCATTCATTTCTTCCATTCTTCCGATTCTTGTTTCATTCATCTCTCCCATTCTTTAGCCTCTCATCTCATTTGCTCAATTTGACATTTATGTTCTCTTTCAGTCTCTCTTTTTGCATTTTCCTTTAATCTCTCTTCATATTCCTGCTTTTTTCTTCTTTCTTCTTTTTGATGCCAGAGCCTTTCCTGCTCTCACTGATTTCTTTCAAATTCTTCAGTAGTGTAAACTTCTCAGATGTCACAAATTAATCCTTTGATCTCATTTAATTGTACTTTATAAGTAGGATCTTCTGGTAAAAAGTGATTAGGATCTGGAGAAATACCCCAACGGTTTCCAATACTTTGAATGAAAGAAGAAACATGCTCATTCCAAGTTTCCTGCATCTTTTTCTTATCTTCAATCTGCAATTTATTCCATGAGTAAATACAGAAATAATATGGTTTGTTGCATCTCTTCCAAGAAATGCCCTAAAGCATTCTTTTGTTCTTCAGTAAACCGTCTTGCTTCTGCAAAGAATATTTAAAAGTAAATTTTATTTCAAAATTCAACTAAGTAGATTCAATAAAAAGGACCAAAAACAAGAATGATAGCTTTGACTCCATAAGCACATTTATGGACAGATTCTGCAATATTACGAAGTATTGCATCTGTATCCTTTTTGGTGTCAAAGATTCCAGGCATGTCGACAATGCTATACATTATGCCATTAATGTTCATCATTGCTGCTTTGCATTCTTTTGTGACAGAGTCCTACATTTTGATTGTTTTCTTGAATGCTGAACAATAAAAATAACTTCCTTGAATGAATATGAACCATAATCACTCACCATATCTGCTGAAGCGTGGAAAGGCCCACCATCATGTGGTTTCCTGAGAAGTATATTACCCAGAGTTAGTTCGGAACTAATTTATTACTCTTTAAATTAATTTAATTCATGATATGATACTCAACCAGTTTAAAGGAAAGCTTTTTTTGAAATGTAAGCCTAAAGGTATCCTATTTATAAATCTTGAAAAAGTGGTGAAAATAAAATTTTCATGCATAGAGAATCCTATCATCTTGAGTGTGAACACTGATTAATAAGGCCAGGGTGAATTATAATAGAATTTCTAGCATATTTGGGGTCTTAAAAAAAGGCAAAATTCCGTAAATCCGCCGATATGAGTTGTTAATTTAAGCTTGTCAGATGGAATCGGGTTCTGTTCAAAAATTTAGCAATAAACTAACCTAAATCTACTGTAGAATGTATATCTGAAAAGAATTGCGTTAAATCTTACTTACAGTTATGTTATTAAGTTTAATACTCAAATAGTCTCATTAAAACAGAGAATATTCTTTAAAGAAAGAACTGTTATGTAATTACACGGGATCTTTGCCTTGAAAATCACGTTATGGAACATAGTAAATCATATGTTCCATAACATGATTTTCAAGGCAAAGGCCCATACATAGAAACACGTATGATTGAATTATTTCTCTCGAGTGCGTATGTATTCTTAAAAAGCTCAAAAAATAACATTTTTATATTTTAGAAAATAATATATTAGAGAAAAAATTGGCAAGTGGTTTATACAACAAACAGGTGTGAAGCCCTTCAACCAATGACTACATTTCTAAAATTCCGGGTCAAAATTGTCCACGGTCACTTAATTTTATTTACAAAATCGTAGCTAATTAATTAAGCAAAAATGTTCTCATTATAACTTTGTTATGAAGATTAATCGATTGATATTGCTTAATGCCTGTCTAATTCTAAGAATTTTCTGTAAAAGACGCGGTACATTCGATATGTACGATAACATAAATGTAACAAATGTGACAATGTCTGTCCACTGTGCATATTCTAATTTTAATATATATATATTATACAGTATAAGCAATAGTTATTACACGGATCCTAATTTTCACCCATGACTATTTTTTACTGATATTCTCACGGTTGATATTTTCACAGCGGACTAATATTAAACCGTGAGAATATCAGTAAAAAAGGTCATGGGTGAAAAATTAGGAGCCGTGTAATAATCCTTTTTATGATACGAATATTGTATTATCACTACAAAACTCATAATTCCAATTCAAGGGAGTCGAACCTTGCCAACTATTAATGTACAAATATTTTCGAAAACACCTGACTTGTTATAAGATTTTTTTTAAAAAAAGTAATATTTCTTTGACTAATAAGTGCAAATATTTGCAAATAAATAAATAATAAATAAAAGAAGAAATAAAATAGAAATCATGTACTTCATAGATCCTATTCAGGGTTATGAAGTTTTACGATAATTTTGGTGAAATTCTAAGCATGTTAATTGAGGAGTACATTTTTCGATGATTTGCATGCGGAGTTGCTCGGTTCCGCAGTAATTATCATTCTAATTGTATTTTTATATAGTAATCAGCTAACAAGTAAAGTTATAGAGAAGCTTTCTTTTCGGCAGCTACTATTAACAGTTTATCGGTTTTTGCATTAGTATCTGAATGTGGGGAACCATTGTTCGTTCTATATGAGTTGCCTAAATACCAATGCAAAAACCGATAAACTTCTATTAAAGAATGACTTTTTTATAATCTGCATATTACATAACCGAATCTTAGTTAGAAGTGCAAATTCAGCTGATAATTACTACCTGATTGTTTAACTTCACTAACTATATATTTTATGCTGATTTTACCATTGTTTTGTAAAACTGGTTTTTTAATTTATATAAAAATATGTCGCTAAAATAAGGATTTACTGAAAAAAAATATACAGTATATGAAACATACATTAATTATAAACTTATTATTATCAATCGGCAAATCTTTACCATAAAAATCTTGATTTATACCCGTTCCATGCCATGCAATGACGCCAAAAGATTTTGTGTTTATCTAATTACATTATAAATTACAATGAATTTCAACCGGAGTCTATAATCCATAACTCCACGTATAAATTGTAAACTTCACTGGATCTACAAGCGATATCGCGTCTGAAAACTTGTGAATAATGTCAAATACTTCCGATACCGATCTTCTCAATGCGGCATTCACGGCCATAATGAAAGGCCAAATTTTTATATCAGAAAAGGAGTTTCAAGAAAGACAAGCCCGTAATGAAAATGACGGTTTCACTTACAAACGAATCGATGTACACTCATTTCATCAGTTTAATCTTATTGGCAGTAATGCGAACGCCTTTACTGAAGAAAATAATCAATATCCTTCGTTTGTGAGATCTTTTGATCCTGGACAAATGTTTATACAAAATATCGATGGTAAAACCATCACAATTAATTGCAACTTAAATGATACCATCAAAGTTGTGAAAACGAATATTCAAGATATAGAAGGTATTCTACCGGAACGTCAAAGACTTATCTTTAATGGTATTGAATTAGATGATGGGAATGCACTCTGTGACTACCATGGAATGAGATATGAGTCAGTGTTACATTTAGCTCTTCAAGATCGTGATGTAATTAGTTACTTTAGCTCTGATTCTTTGGACCCACAATGGAATTATGACTTTACAAATGTTAATGATAACGGAGCGACACATATGCGTGGAGGTATTCTGTATAAAAGGCCCTGTGGATGGAGACGCTTTGCTTTGAAGGTTACTAATAGATATGATAATGGTGATAATAAATGGCTCGGCACTGATAATATGGCCTGGCCAGTGTCTTATCATGGGACTAGTGAACATAATGGGAAGTCAATCGCAGATGATGGATTTTTATTAAGCAAAGGAAATAAATTTGATTTTCGACATGGAATTTATTCAACGCCTGATGTGAATTTAGCAGAAAAGTACGCTCATGAATTTGATTATGAGGGTGTGAAATATTTTACTATTATTCAGAATCGAGTGAATCCTGCGAATTTGCAGAAAATTCCGAAACAAACGGAGGATGAAGAATATTGGGTTTCTATGAATGGTGATGATGTTAGACCATATGGAATTTGTATCAAAAAAAAGTTAACGCAATAATGTTGTGATTTTTCAAATTTTACATCGCTTATTTGTTTTTATAAAAATAAATCAGAAAGATATCCAACACGTTGTTGATTTTATATTTTATAATTGATTTTATCTGGTATATTTACAAGATCTTTTCTCTTCTTAAATTTCACATTTCTATACTATTGCTTTTACATGCAAAGGCAATTTTCACTTAACATAATCTCGAGTGGTAGTCATGTGGACTTACTCTAAAATTTGTTATTTCAACTAATAAACTAGCACCTGTATCTTTAGATTACCTGATTGGTAGTATTATATATGTTCGAATATGATTAACAATTTTTGCGTAAGTGCATACATTATCTTACATTAACGCTTGCTGACAATACTTTTGGAATTTTAGAAGGGCAAAGGCGGATTGGCCGACATTTTCATTGTTTCTATTTTAGTCATAGTACAGTAACCAAAAACTGGATTTTTTCTAAATTGGGCGTGCGTACGTACATACTTATAAAAAACATTTTTAAATTATTCTCAGCTTTGATCAACAAAGCATTTGCCATATTTTATTTATTTTAATGTGACCCGACTCACTGATTTAAACCGGCTTCACGTAACACAGGTCGAGCCGTTAGCTATGCCGATCGGCTCAAGTGTAGTTAGAGTTTATGAAAACAGCTGTAACTATATCGCTCACTCAAATTGATCAAAATAATTATCTGAATATTTTGGCATGGTAGTCAATTGGTCGCCAGGACTTCTCACTCATGATATGTTATTTTTGTTTGCTTCCCTTTCCTCCTTGCAGTATAAATTAAGTTATACTGTAATTTATTGCCGGACACTATTGTCCGAATTACTTGCCGAATATAGGCTGCAATGGACTATTTAGGGTACAATTAATATCTTATATACGTACGTACGTACATAATGATAAGTACTTGCATATTAGAATTGATTATATTTTGGCATGCATATTCTCAGGCTCACGTTACATATACGTTGTTAATTGAAGCCTAATAAAATTTTTATCTGCACCAATCGATCTTTTCAAATTATATAATTATAATTTTTTTCTTATCTTCAATTTTTTAAAACCATGAGTTTGACTATAAGTCGGCAAATAAAATCATTTATTGACACGGATATTGCCACGTATAAAAGAAATCAATTTGAACGACACTTGAAATCTGCTAAAAACGACGATTCCGATGGACAATATAATCTCGGACATTGTTATCATCATGGTATAGGCACTCTTAAGGATGAAAAGAAAGCATTTGAGTGGTATTTGAAGTCTGCTGAAGGAGGAAATTTCAATGGACAATGTAATCTCGGATATTGTTATCAATACGGTATAGGTACTGTCAAGGATGAAAAGAAAGCAGTTGAATGGTATCGAAAATCTGCCGACGGCGGAAATTCTGTCGGTCAATTTAATCTGGGATATTGTTATCAACATGGTGCAGGAATCATAAAGGATGAAAAAAGAGCATTTGAATGGTATTTAAAACATATTAAAGAGGATAATTATAATTATCAATTTGGTGAAAACAAGGCAGAAGACGAGAAAAAGATAGTTGCATTATATTTGAAAACCGCTGAAAAAGGAAAAAATTTAAATGGGTAATACAATGTCGGATATTGCTATGAGTATGGCGTAGGTATTGCTAAAGATGAAATAAAGGCTTTTGAATATTATTTAAAATCTGCAGAAGGCGGTAATTCTGATGGGCAATGTAAAATCGGTCACTGTTATCAAAGTGGCATAGGGACGGAAAAGAATGAAAAGAAAGCATTCGAGTGGTATTTAAAATTTGCAGAAGGTGGTAATTCTGACGTACAATATAATCTAGGGTACTGTTATCAATTTGGTATTGGTGTCGACAAAGATGAAAAAAAGGCTTTTGAGTGGTATTTAAAATCTGCTGAAGGCGGTAATTTTGATGGACAATGTAAAATCGGACACCATTTTCGAAATGGCATAGGGACTACCAAGGATGAAAAGAAAGCATTCGAATGGTATTTAAAATCTGCAGAGGGTGGTAATTCTGATGGACAATATAATCTAGGATATTGTTATCAATTTGGTATTGGTGTCAACAAAGATGAAAAAAAGGCATTCGAATGTTATTTAAATTCTGCAAACAATGATAATTCTGATGGACAGTATAGTGTTGGGTATTGCTATAATCTTAGCATAGGCATTGCCAAAGATGAAGCAAAGGCTTTTGAGTGGTATTTAAAATCTGCTGAAAACGGAAATTTTAATGGACAATTCATTATTGGCTGGTGCTATCAAAATAACATACACGTCGCTAAAGATGAAAAAAAAGCGTTTGAGTGGTATTTAAAATCTGCTGAAAACGGTAATTTTAATGGACAATTCATTGTTGGCTGGTGCTATCAAAATAACATACACGTCGCTAAAGATGAACAGAAAGCGTTTGAATGGTATTTGAAATCTGCAGATAAAGGACATTCTATTGGGCAAAACAATATTGGATGGTGTTATCAACACGGCATCGGAACTAACACAAATCATGCAGAAGCATTCAAATGGTACTCTAAATCTGCTGAAGGAGGATGTTTTATTGGACAAAATAGTCTCGGAAGATGCTATCAAAATGGCATAGGAATAGCAGTTGATGCGATAAAGAGGCGTGAATGGCACGTAAAATCTCTCGTGGGAGGTAACCGAAATGCACCTTTGATCGCATTTGCTAATTCATATGATCAAAATTATATAGGTAGTATTTGTTATTATGTAATTAGTAATTTCAGCCTATATTTATTGTAAATTAATTTATTTCTTTTAACTTAAGAACATCCAATACAGTCACATATATGCGACACATCAGATTACCATGTAGACGTTACTTTAACAAATACAAGAGTGACTCTTCTTTCACATAGTGATCTTTGTTATGTTCATATTGCACAAAAATTCTTTTCAGGGCTGCCTAAAGCTATGATCAAAGGAATCTTGAGAATTGAAATGCCTTATAATATCGTAAAACCGCACTTAGATTTAAAAATGCAAATGTCTAATGCGGTTAATGGTGCAAATGTCACATATTCTATGCATCATGGGACCTATTCTTCATGCGATGTAATGAATATTTTAACCAACTTAGCACCAAACTGTTCCTCTAACTGTGGCGTATGTGGTATTCTGAGAGAAGGCAACAAAATGAGGCATTCCAGATCAGGTCCTGGTAGAATGTGGTTCGCCAGTGATCCATGTACTTCATTAGGCTATTGCAGAAATCAGAGTATTAAAGTTATGTTTTGTGTCGATATATTATATAATACCTTTAATGATATTATAATAATTGAATCAGATGCGGTAAGGATGCTTTATTTAAATTAATTGTTATTTCCTTAGTATACGTTTTTAACTGGGTTGATAAATTTTTTTTCAGGCATCTTTACCTAGATTTTTAATAATATTTACGACGTAAAATTTAAAATCGATATAATCGATAATCAATCGAAGAAACTAGCACAATGATTTGGGTTTAGTGATTTAATAGAATATTGATTTTCTCTTCAATTATACAGTAAATATGTTATACTAGGTCTCATAACATAGAATAAGTTTATCTCGAATAAAGGAATCTAAGAATTGTAAATTTTCTGAAGTTACGAATTTTAAGTAGTTTCGACAGTAGTATATGCTCCCGGAAATAGCAAATAATATTACGCCGGGAGATAACCGTAAGCAGTTGTTTATGCGGCTTAACGCTGGCCGGTGGTTTCCCGCCTGCATAATGCAAGCCGGCCGTCAGTATGAACATGTGATATTGATATTGCAGTTATGTAGCAGTTGAGTTTGTGCGGCTTAGCACTGACCCGCCTGCGTAGTGCAGGCCGGCCGTCATGTGATATTAGTATTGCTAGGGATGTTACGGTCCGTCCCGGTCCGGTCTTGGTCCCAAAGACCGGTCCTACCAGAGGACCGCGGACTGGACCGTGGTCCAGGACTGGTCCAT